TTTGAATGATGTGTGCACTGTGAAAAAGACAGGAAGATAATACATTTATTCTCACCACTTTCTAATTTATGTCTCTTGTCACTGACCAATCCCCCTGGTACGTGGGTGAGTTTAAATTTCTAGTTTGCATAATACTTGGAGCATTTTTCCCAGTCAAAAGTAGGTGTGACACACGCCTTGAGACCTCTGAGCTTGAACTTTTTGCATTTGTGTAAACCAAAATACTTGTGAAAGCCCTCCCTCTCTAGGTTATTGAGGCCAGGAGGCTGTCTGAGGGGTCCTTTGGTGAACTGGATGAAAATACTTCTGAGAATCTCTTTACAAAGCTAGTGTTTAGAGGCAGTGTTACAAATCTCACATTGATTTGTGGCACAAGTGCTTTTCTCAAAGTGCATAAATGAGGTCCACCACAGGAAGTTTCTAATCACACATAATCTTGCTGAAGGAAAATCATTCTAATGCAATAAACACTCAACAATTTTTTCTTCTGTGAAAAAAAGCCCGATATTCTCTGATGACATTTTTTGGAATTCTGCTCCTGTCTGTATGGAAAGGAAAATTCTACAATTGGGTGAAGATGAATACAATAATCTAGAATTCAAACAAAGTCTATTGATGGAAGTGGGCAATTACCTTGGAGAAACTGATTAGAAATGGTCAAGGGCAATTGTTTGTTTTATGTATGTTTTATTTTCTTTCTTACCTTACTTACCATTTTATTATTTCTTCTTTTTAATTAAAATTTAATTACTAGGGCTGGCCTGGTGGCTAAATTTGCATGCTCTGCTTTGGTGGCCTGGGTCTTTCTGGTTTGGATGCCAGGCCTGACCTACGTACTGCTTATCAAGCCATGCTGTGGCAGGCTTCCCACATATAAAATAGAGGAAGATGGGCATGGATGTTAGCTCAGGGCCAATCTTCCTCAGCAAAAAAAAAAAGAGAGAGAGAGAGAGAGGAAGATTGGCAGTAGATGTTAGCTCAGAGCTAATCTTCTTAAAAAAAAAAAAAAACAAATGTTAATTACAGTGGGGTTGGCCTAATGGCATAGTGGTTAAGTTCATGTGCTCTGCTTCAGTGGCCTGGGGTTCTGGAGTTTGGATCCCAGGAACAAACCTACACATTGCTCATCAAGCTAAACTGTGGTGGTGTCCCACATGCAAAATAGAGGCGGATTGGCACAGACGTTAGCTCAGGGACAATCTTCCTCAAACAAAAAGAGGAAAATTGGCAACAGATGTTAGCTGAGGGCTAATCTCCTTTGCAAAAAAAAAAGTTAATTACAGAGAATGCTCAAAGGCTAATAACATAAAAACTATCTGTGTACTCACCACTCAGAACTATCAAATGTTAAAATATTTTATATGAAATAATATTTTACTTAAGAAGATGTCTGAGATTTGCTTCAAATAACACAAATAATTCAGGAGAGGGAAGTGAGTGAAAGTAAAGAGGTAACAAATTGATGAGGACCTGACAATTGTTGAATCTGGGATGATGGATGCGTGGCTATTTTATGTACTTCGTATAAGTTCGAATTTTTCATAACAAAAAATTTTTTAAAAATCTTACATAAATAGTTTCATATTTATGCTCTTCCTAATAAATATGCCATAATGCATTTTTCATAATGTCCCCTGTGTAATTTGGGAGAAAATAATAAAGACAAATAATGTTCAAGTCCCCTTAGTCTACTCCTCAGTTCCATCTCTCTTCCCTTTCAGTAGCAAAAATATGATTTTGGTTTGATTTCACCCATATGTATTTTAGTTTTATTAACTATATATGTATCTATAAGGAGTATATTATTTTCTATTTTTTAAAGTTTTACAAAAATATTATATTCTACCTTATGCAACTTATGTTTTCCTATAAATACTTTTAGATTTAACCATGTCAACAACCATGTCTAGTTGTTTCATTTTCGCTCAGGTAGAATAGTTTATTGCTGCACAAAGCCACAATTTATTTTTGCCAATTCAGCACTGCTACAGTGAACACCCCATTATATAACTACTTGTATACTTTTGAAAGCATTCCCGTAGGGTGTATACCTAGAAGTCCAATTTCTCAGTCACAGGGCATTTTCACCGTCACCTTCACTAGATAGAGTCAAATTACTCTCTGGAGTAATGGAGAGAGTTCGAAAAGTGGGAGACCCCTGTTTTGCAGTAACTTTTGATCAAGGTGTACTGTTGATTGGTTCTAATTTTCTTTTTCGCTACTCTGATGGTATGACACATATCTCATTGTCATTTTATTTTGATTTCTCTGATTACTAGTGAGGATAAACATCTTTTCAAATGTATATTAGCCTTTCAGATGTTTTCTTCTGTGAATTGCCAGCTCATATTCATTGTTTTTCACCTATTACAACATTTGATTTTTCTTACCTATTTGTAAACATTGTTTATACATTCAGGATACTAAGGTGTGGATAATTATGGCATAGAGATGATGCCAATGAATATAGATGTTTTATCACCAGTCCCAGGTCATGCACGTGATAGCTATACCTGTGACACTTAGCTACAAATCTTTTTTCATCCTTCACTATGCTGCCTCCCAAATATCAAATAATAAGGCCAAAGAAAAGGAATTCTAATGCCTTTTCCATTTCTGACACTTCATGGTTTTAGCAATTGTCAAGTTCGTGAAGGAAGAAGGTAATTTGTCTTCCATGTGAAATTGTAGCTGCTTTGTGTTGACGAGTCTGTGAGGATGACATGAAGAAAAGCAAGAAAACTAGACACTTCTCTCTTCAAAGAAAGACAGCCTCCTGGCTTTGGAGGCTTCTTAAAAATTTAAAATATGAGCCACAAAGTCCATCAACAGATTATATTCCTGCAGTGGATGCAGCTCTAGTAGTGTCACTCAATAGATCCATTTCTGATGAATGTTAGTAAGAACAATTAAATTATCCATGTGCCTACTGAACCATGTTTGCTGAACGTACAAGACATAAACTCTAACATGTTATTTACTTAAAATATAATTATGACAGTGTTCTCACTAAAATACCTGTGCTTCTTGACGTCACCTGGAAGGTGAGCAGGTAACATTAAATTTGAGTTAGCAGAAGTTTGGTACGAGGTGCCAAGAAGCGAGAACTCTTCCCGTTTGTCATCTTTCTGTCATAGAATTTCACTATGTTTGTAAAATAACGTGATTCCTGTGTTGCTTTAAAGACTTTGAAGCATCATCATAAGGATAAATAATATTCTTTGTTCTCTGAACAACTCATAGAGACAAAGAGAACTCAGAAGAATAGCTGGCCTCATCTGGTTTTGCCCTTAGGCAAAAAATAGATGCAAGTGCTTGCTCCAGGGCTTTTCTCATTTCTTCAGAGTCTCATATGGACTTCAATTTATTGTTCTTATTGACCCCCATAGGTCTGTAATGTACGTACACAGCAGCACGTGCATTCCTAGTCTGAGTACAAAAAGAAGTGGCAGAACATCATGGATTGCCACGAATAGGAAAGGGAGAACCAGACAAAGGAAGTTTTAAAAGGCAATAAGGAATTTTGCTCTTACCAATCCATCTTCTGTGTCACTCTCCACATAATTGTTAGCTTAACAATTACATTAAATTGAGTGTTTCTTGCCATTTTAGGCACATTTATATTAAAGAATATACAAAAATGAATATATTCCATAGGTCTATGAAATAAGCAGAAGTTTCCAGATGGTAAACCTTTTCTGGAATTTATTCACTTAGTTTTTGTTTATTTGTTTTGAATTGGTTTTTGTTATTGCCCTAACGAATAGTGAAACACACTCACTGCTAATGATGAGTTTATCTAAATATCTAAAACCTAACTAATGAACCCCTACCTCAAACCTGCAACGCTTCTATTTCCTTGTTTGTATCAACGCTATCTACCACTTTGAGTCATCTAGGCTTAAGAGAAAACAGAGTTATTGGTAAACCCTTTCAGTCTTAAATTTCCCATATCAGATCAAGTGAAACTTTTTTAGAATAACTGTAGTGGGATTCCAAATTTATTCACAATGACATTTGGATGTGTGAAGAAAATATAATCAATTGGTCCAGTACTGTTTATTATTAAAAAGACGGTTCTTTCCACACTGCTCTATGGTGGTACAATTGTCCTCTATAGGCGGTCATATATATGCTGGCCTGTTTCTGAACTATATTTTCAATTTTATTGATTTGTTTGTCTATCTTTGCATCAATACTACATGGTCTTATTTAATATGTCTTTACATTAGGTGCAATATTTAGTGTTACATGACTTTCAGATTTGTTCTTTGCAATTGCCTGGGATATTCTTGACCTTTTGAATTTCCAAAAGAATTTTAGAATTAGCTAGTTAAATTTGGGGGGGGGAAGCTTAGATTTTAATTGAGATTGGTTAAATTATAGATTAATTTTAGGAAAATTGACATCTTTATAATATTAAATATTCCAATATTAAGTATGAGACATCTTTCGACTTATTTAGATTTTTTTTTATTTCTCCCAAGAAATATTGTGCAGGCTTTATTGTGGCGGTCTTTGTATTTTCATTAGGTAGTCAGATACAATTATGATACAATTTAGATTATATTGAGGTCACTCAGCGACAAGACAAAGAAAAATTCGGAGAATAACCAACCACAGAAGAAGTACAAAAAAGAAGTTATCAAAAGTAGGTATATAGGTTCAAGAAACACAGAGGTAAAATAAACTTGTTTTGGTGACCAGATGTGAAGAATGAAGAAATAAACAGAGTCCATAAGGTCTCAGAGCCTTTGAAGCCAGTTAAACTTTGTAGATAGATGGTGTTTGGTGCAATTGTAGAATGGCATCCAGGTGACAATTTCCACATAAGTGGTTTGTACAAAACTGTGGTTGTATAAAGTAATCACATAACTCATAAACGTAACAAGATCAGTGCCTTTGTCCTGTTGATTGTGATGTCCCCAGATTCTAGAATGCGACACAGATAAAATCCTCAATAAATACTTGATGAATGGGACAGAAAGAAGAAAGAAAGGAGGAAGGAAGGAGGGAGGGAGGGTGAGAGGTAAAGGAGAGAGAGAGAGAGAGACATGGTGGGGGGAGAAAATAAAAACAAAAGAGAAAAAGAACTCAGAATATCTCAGAAAAGAGACAGGCCCTTTTCTGGTAATGTAAGTTATTTCCTCTTAAGTAGTTTTATCCTCACTGCTCTGATCACATTGTTCATCTCATTTTCGTCTGAAATGTTTAATATGAACATAATGTAAAAAGGAAATTTAGATGTCTTTATTATTGTGAAAATCCTAATAAAAGGGAAATGTGATCATTCAATGAATATTTATTTGTTCAGGTTAGTAAGTATAATGATAATAATTTTTACATTGCAATAAAGCAAGGAATGAGAATGGGTTATTGCTTTTATAGCCCAACATTTATTTCACTTGATTCAGAGACTTTCACATTATTGCGTTTAAGAAACAATTACTGTACTACCAGGTTGTCATTTTATTAAGGTAAAGCCATCTTAATACTATGACACTTAAATGCAAATTTCAAGGTAGGATATGGCGAATTTAAATGAGTCTATGTCCTGAAAGTCAGAGGAATTCAATTGGTTTCTGCTAAATGAAAATATTTTTGAGCTTTCTTTGCTGAAGTAGGAAACCTGAAATAGACCATCTGGGGTTTCTTAGGTCAGCCTCTCACCTTCAAGCAAAATAAACTGTATTTCACTGCAGAAAAGTAAAACCTTACTCTAGTTTATTCTTCTATGACATTGATTTCCCCTTTCTCTTGATTATAAATCCATGAACATCAGGATCTAAGTATCTGGTAGACCTTTCATTTGTGTGAGGAGTTGAGTCCAAGAAACCTTGACATGCAACATTTTCCCAGTCCAATGACAGAATAGAGAAGTCAGCAGGGCATGCAAATGAGAGGATGGAGACCTGCGTAAGTCGGGAGCCATTTTAACAACAAAGTGAAATATACCTGTGGCTAGAAGTGATTGTTAGGGAAATTCTTACTCTAGCTCTACCTCATTCTAAGTAACAGGGACTGTTTGTTAAAGAGACCATAATAAGAAAGTTGAAGAAAGTATATCATCTTAACATGGTAGCCAACCTTTTAGAAAGATAGACTTCCAAAATGGAGAATATTTAGCCTGGATTTAATGCCATTATATTTCAAAAGGAAATCTAAGAAAGAGGAAGTAAATTAATGTTCAAAAGTATGTTCTGTACCAGATTCTCTCCGAAAGTTGTTATAGGAATTATCAGGTTTTTTTTTTTTAATTAGTCCCAAGATGTGATATTACCTCTGTATTAGTTTCTCAGGCTTACTATAAAAAATTACCTTAAACTTGCTGGCTTAAAACAATAGACTTTTATTCTCTGGCAGTTCTCAAGATGAAAAGTCCAAAATCAAGGTGTCAGAAGGACCACCCTCTCTCGGAAGGCTCTAGAGAAGAATATTTGTTTGCTTCTTCCGGCTTCTGGTAACTCTTGGTACACTTTAGCTTAGGTCTGCATGACTCCAGTCTCTGCTCCATCTTCACATGGCCTTATTCTTAGCTTCTCTCTCTCAATTTCTCCTTCTCTTCTCCTGTCAGGACTTGTCATTGAATTTGGGGCCCACCCTAATCCAGTATGATCTTATCATGAAATTCTTAATTATATATGCAAAGTTCCTTTTTTTCCCCAAACAAGATCACATTTATAGATTCTGGGAGTTAGGACATGGAGATATCATTTTTTGGGGTCACCATTCAACCTATTATAATCTCTATTTTTATAGGTTAGAAAAAAGTGACCACAGAAGTTAAATGCCTTCTCAGGAAGATAGAGTGGAACAGAACTTAGACCCTAGTCTGTCTGAGACCAAAAACTTTGCAGAATCATTCTACAAGACCCAAATTCCAGATTACAATTGTGATTGTGCTGACATATGTACTCTGTGAAGAAGACAAAGCTGTACTTTTGAGAAGATTTTAATGAGCAAAGACATTAAAGTATCAGTTAAAGTATAAATAATAAAAGAAAGTGTCACATAGATTGCTAAAAATTATGTCTTGCAAAAAATACAAAGAAAAACAGAGCAAGCTTTGGACCCAAAAGAAGAATAAAAAGCGTAAGCACTCTTGTCCTTGGAGATGATGAAATATTGTTAATAGACTATATACAAAAGAAACTTTGACTCTCATTAGTATTTTGGATATTGTGTCAAGTAAAAGGATCTTTGAACTGAAAGTGAAAGAAGAAATTTTGGAGAGTAGGACTGAAGCCTAAAATGGATGAAGAGCTTGAAAGAGAGAAACTAATTTTTTCAATTTCAAGTCTCCTCACTTAGGTGAATTACAGCTGAATATATAATGTAACTTCTGGCTGGTAAAATCGCTAATCTACTTTGGTCAAGTTAAAAAATGATGAATAGCTAGAATTCTGCTGGAAGGAAAAAGTTGTATATATCATGACTTTTCTTTAAAGGGAGAAGTGTATTCCACGAATTATACACTGTGTAAATTTATCTCAACCTCTGGGAATATTTGAGAAAGAATTATTAAAGGATTGCTAGTGAGCCTCTAAAAGAACAAAAATTTGATCATTACAACCTATGATGAAGTCAGTAAATCTCATTCATTCTGTACTAGGATGATTTCGTCAATTGGCACACAGGAAGAATCTGGAAAATAAACTTAGGCTTGAGAAGCTCCAATATCTTCCTACAATATTGGGGTTCTTGGTCATATATTGGCAACTAGTTGACTCACTCTAACCAAACAATGCTACTTAACACATCACCATTTTCTATATACCCATTTGTCTGCACCAGTTTTTGCTAAATTTATCCCCCATCTCCTACACTCACTTTATAGCTTCACTTCTCCCCCAGATTTTGATATGTCTACTTGCCAATTCATTTGCCATATTGCTGTCAAGGCCATATACTAGAGTACAGAATTGCCCACATGAGCCCTTTATAATCTGCTCTTACTCTCTTTGGTGTCCTTCCATCAATATTCCCATTCAGCCATTTCTTTTTTTAAATGAGCCCATGTGTTTTCCCTCCTGTTAGAACGGCGTTCTCCTGGTAACCACCTGGCCATGCTTGAAGGCCCAGGAACAAATATCATGATTTCTTAAAGATTTTTCCAGATTGTTATCCCCATCTCACATCTGAGATTAAATTATTCCATCATATGTTCTTCCTAGTATTGTATAAATGCAGCTGTTATATGAGTGATGACTTCTGGATTGTTTTGTTATTCTATTTACCCAATTAGACTCTGAACCGTTTTAGGACAAACCTATTTCAACCATGATCTCACTACCCAAACACTGGTACTTAGCAGATACAAACTAAGCATATGTTTTACAACAAACATAAAGTTTCCTTGTTCCCTGGCAAAAGAACCATTAATCACCTAACTTCCTTGTATAGCATTCTTAACACAGGTAGTGGTGATGTGAAAACATATTATAATATATATATATTACTAGCTAACACCAGAATTCTTTTAGGATCTGTTTGGAAAAGTGCCCAATAAGCTAAGTAAATGTGAGTCAGCAGGATACAAAGAAATCAGAGAGACAACCAACTTCTACTACCTTAAAATAAAACAAGTCAAAGCTTAACAAAAGTTGAAAAGTTCTGTAGAGAGAGGCAATTCAATCAAAATGGTGGGAGAAATTGGTGCAATACTTTGGAAATGGTTGAGTCATTTTTTTTAAAATAATGTCTTTCAGTGTTACATTTTATGTTTTTGCATTGTTCATTATTCCCAAACACATAGTAAAGTCTGATACATACAGAAAGACCCTTGAGTAAATTCTTTTTTAAAAAATGTGAGACAGGAAATCAGAAGATCAAGGAGTGATATTGACCTCTCAGTAAGTGGAAGCAGAGAAAGCATGGGCAGGATTATGAGACCATACATAAAGGGAATTGATTTAGTGGAAAGGAGAGCTTCCCTTTCACGGAAATCAGAACAAGGCCTTTGGACTTTTCATAGGACCTATAGCAGGATTATATCAATTTTGTTTGGCTCTTTAAAAGCAGGATTGACCAAGGCTGAGATTTGGATAGCATTAAAAACGTGGTTAACAAATTTTCAGGTGGCTTATAACTAGAAGGGAGATCAGATATTTTGAAAGCAATATCCCACATCTAATGAGACAAAGTGTAACATGGTCATACACACATATATCAAAGAAAGATATATGACTTAAAGAAATCAAAAGAAAAATATTTGAGATGTTTGTACAGCACAATTCAATATAAATTAATTCTGTTAGCATTGTCAAAAAAGTTATTGCAAGTATTAATATATTATTTTAAACAAAAATTTAAAAAAGAATCCAAAGCACTCTGCTTGTGTCTCATATAAGACCTTGGGTTTGGTGATGACTTTTTAGATATGACACCAAAGGCACTGTCCATGAAAGAAAGAATTAATAAGCTGGACTTAATTGAATTTAAAATGTCTGCTCTGTGAAAGACCCCATGAAGAGGATGAAAAGATAAGCCACAGTATGGGAGAAAATATTTGTAAAAGATTTATCTGGTAAAGGACTGTTATCCCAAATACACAAGGAACTCTTAAAACTCAACAATAAGAAAACAAACAACCCGATTAAAAAATGAACCAAAGACCTTACCAGATACCTCACCAAAATAAGACATACAGAAGGCAAATAAGCACATGAAAGGATGTTTCACATCATATGTCATCAATGAAATGCAAATTAAAACAACAGTGAGCTATCACTACATAGCTATTAGAATGGTCAAAATCCAGAATAGTGACAACACCAAATGCTAGCAAGGATGTGGAGCAACCAGAACTTTCATTCATTGTTGGTGGGAATGCAAGGTGGTACAGCCACTTTGCAAGACAGTTCGGCACTTTCTTAGAAAACTAAACATACTCTTATCATACGATCCAGCAATTGCCTTCCTTATTGTTTATCCAAAGGAGTTGAAAACTTATGTCTACATAGAAACCTACACACAGATGTTTATAGCAACTTTATTCATAATTGCCAAAACTTGGAAGCAACCAAGATGTCCTTCAGTAGGTGAATGGATAAATATACTGTGATACATCCAGACAAAGGAATATTATCTAGCGCTAAAAAAGAATGAGCTATAAGCCATGAAAAAAAAAGGAAAGAATCTTAAATGCATATTACTGAATAAAAGAAGACAATCTGAAAAGGCTACGTACTCTGTGATTCCAACTATATGACCTTGTGGAAAAGACAAAACTTTGAAGACAGTAAAAGATCACAGGTTTCCCAGGGTTAAAGGGGTGAGAAGGATGAATAGATGGAGTACAGAGAATTCTTAGGGCATGAAACTGCTCTGTACGATAATAAAAGGAAACTACATATATAATACACATCATTATAAATTTGTCCAAACCTATAGACTATACAAAACCAAGAGTGAACCCTAATGCAAACTATGGACTTGGGATGATAATGACATGCATAGTTTCCTCTGCTGTCACAAATGTTCCATTGCGATGGGAAATGTTGGTAAAGGTGGAGGCTATGCCTGTGAGGGGGCAAGGGGTGTAAGAGAGAGCTCTACACCTTCTACTCAATTGTACTGTAAGGAAAACTTCTCTAAGAAATAAAGTCTCTAAAAAAAACTATAATAGAATATCGTAACCAGGATACTGACGTTGATAAAATCCACCAACGTTGTTCGGATTTTCCCAGCTTTACTTACAAGGTGTCTTTTGATGCAGAATCTGAACAAAGGATGAAAAAGGAAACAACGAGAACATGTCATAGAGGATTTACCTCAGAAAGGGCTGAGACTTCACCAGTCAGAAAAATGACTGGAGACACAAGTGGAGGACCGGATGTTCACGGATTGCATTGGAAGGAAAGAGCCTCTTAGTTTGAAATAACTTTTTAGCGGTTGTGGGAGAGGGGGCAAAAAATAGGAAAATCGAGTCCTTTACCAAGTCCTGACTGATCTGGGCTGATTGCTGCAGAGCTTAAAGTTTGGTTCTCTGAGCTGTTTGCTGAAGAGGTTTTGGGTCAGAGTTCTTTTGTCAAATATGATTTGGCCGTTGTCATTTGTGTATTCAGTCTCTTAGCCCTGATTTTCCTTCCTTCCTTTCCTACTTCTTTCTTTCCTCCCTTCCTTCCTTGCTCTTTGCCTTTCTCCCTCCCTTCCTCCCTTCCTTCCTCCCTTCCATCTTTCTTACCCATCTATTTATTCATGTGTTTGTCAGGCTTATCTAGCTGCCTCTTAATTGCCCAGCTACATTTGTAAACTTCAATTGTAAGGGAAGATTTATTCACATGAAATTATATTGTCAAATTATTTGCTTAAATTATAATGTGGAGTTTTGAGGATGGGGTGATCAGCATAAGCTGGAAAAACAGAGCAATGTTTACAGAGGAGGTAAGAGTTTAAGGTTTTCAAATATACATTGAGCACTTAAAAGTGAAGATGCACCTTCAGCCTTGGTGATAATGCGGTCATAGTGCTATTTACCAAAAAGCTCACTGAGAAGTTAGAAAGATAGACAAAAAGAAAAGAAAGAAAAAAAAATTATAGGAATATGAAATAATTATTTTAAAGGAAGTTTGAAGAAATTTTTGTGGAAATACAAAGGAGAAGACTACTAGTTCTGAGAAAGAAGATGCAACGGGCTTCACAGAGGGGAGATGTGCAAAGGTTTCTAATGACGAGTTGGTGCTTGTTAGGTAGACAAGAGAGAAAGGGTAGTCCTTACAGAAGGAATCATATCTGCAAAGGTGCTGGAATACTAAAGATCTGGCAGACCTGAGGAATAGTAAGAACTGTGATGTGGAAATAGATTCTTCTGCATTAAAGATGTGGTAATAGGTTGGGTCGAGATTCCAGAAGACATCATTTCATACTTAGGAGATGATCTTTGCTCTTTAGCCTCCAAGATGCCTTTTTTTAAAGCAGAAAATCAATGTGATTTGACATTTTTGGCTGCTAGTTCTAGTAGCAGTGTGGGAAGTAAAGCTCAATGAGGAGATATTTGTTGGTAGTAAGAAGAGTTAGAAAATTGTTCAGTGCTTCAGAGGAGGGATAAGAGGAGACTCTGAAATAAGCCATTCTAAAGGGGATGGAGGGGTAGATTCTCAAGGGAGAATTTGTAAGCTCTGATAATCAAGTAGATGCGCAGAGAGAAAGAGGGGTCAAAAATTACTAGATTATTGTTTCTGATGAATGGTGACCAATAATTAAAATAAAAAATACAAACTGAGAATAAACAGACTGTGTGTTGAGGGTGGGGGTTGGGAGGATGAGTAATACGTTTACTAATTTTGTTCTGACAGTGTTTGTGGGGCCTTGGGGCATCAGTTTGGAAACACGGGTTTGATATCAGGAAAATACACAAGAACTAGATAATAGATATTTGCGTCTCGTGTCATATATTTGAGAGTCTGAGAGTTCAAAGTTTTTGCATTTATAAGGTAATTGACATTATCCAGTGTTTCCAGTGGGAGCTGGTTGTGAGCTCAGCATTAGCAAAAGTATAGTAAGGGGATTAGAAAAGGCATGTAAAGCATTTTATTATGGGAGACAATTATTTTAACAATCTTATGCCTTAGTTTTTCAAAATTAAAAAAAAGAGGTTGCCACTCATATCTCTATTATCTCTTTAATTGGAATCAGACACATTTACTTCTTTTAAACTGTGTCTACACCTGAAAATTAAGTGAAGACTAAACTACATTTGTTTGGTCAATTTTCTCTCAAGTATAAGAAAAAAAATATGCAGATGTTGTGTACATTCTCTCTATTTGTTCCTCAATTTAAAAATTATCCTTTGTTTCTAGTGTTCAGCTTATAATCGTTTTCTAGTAAAGATAACATTCTTATCATTCCAGAAGATTTACCCTACAAGTATTCTTAAAAAGTGAGATTTAAAGAAGCTTGGCAAGAAACTTGGGTATTAGACTCTTTTGGAGATTGCCTCAGGTAAATGCATAATAATTGAATAATAACTTGTCTGCTTCTTGCAAATGGAAGAAAGATACACACAATCATTTTTAATACCTTCCATGTTTCTGATAAACATCTGTGGCTATTTTATTTTCTAAGCACTTTAATTATCAGCAGGGGAAAAGAGCCAAGAGAAGCAAGAGCATTAATATGCTCTTTTTTTCTCTCTTCAGAAATAAAAGTAAATTCACTGTGTGATAACAACAGCTAGTAATGCCCTTCTCACTTTTATATTAATGACCAGCGATAGAAATGCCTGAGGCATTGCCTTCAGGTTTTGATAGTTCTGAAACCCAACACTGAGACTTAACAATGAAAGAAATGGCTTCTTTTGCTCTATAAAGATTAGTGATGCTATTTAAGATAGTGCCACAGGTAAAGACCAATAAGCTTTCTCCAATCTTGGGGATGTTGAAAGAGCCTTTCTCTCCAGACTCATCAATAAAACATTGGATTCAACTTTATCTTAGAACAATCTTTTAAAGGAGGTAGGTTTAATACACAGTAAAGATTATAATATGAAAACCAGTAGAAGTACATTTTGCAAATGAAAATGAACAGAATTGAGCAGCACAGGGAAGAGTCATTTCATGTGTTAAAGTTAGGAAATTACAGCTTTAATTTAGGAGTTGTATTTTTTTTCAAGGGAAATATTAAAACATTTAGATAAGAACACATTTTATTGAAGTCAAACTTCTGAAATAAATAGCTTTCTTTAAAGCAAATGGACCTAGCAACATACTTAAAACAATAGATCATAAAGCAGACACTAACTGAGTCTAGATGAATCTAGAAAAAGATAAATATTGTTTCATTGAATGAATAAAATGAATAAATTAGAGTTGAGTGGGGAGCGAGTCATATGTCTATTTTTTGTTCTAAAATGTTGGGCTCTTTTACTGAATGACCATAAGCATCTATGTATACACACACACACACATACATAAATTTAGAACTCCTTATCTAGGAAGAGTGATTCCTTTCCTGCAAGAAATGGTAAATAACTTAGGTTCATAATAGGAATTTGTATTACAATGTGGGACAAACCCATGTGGCCAGAAATCTAAATGAAAGTTTGTAGTCAGAGTATTTGGCAACATGGATTTGTCCAATAGCCAGAAAGCAAGCAAACAAACCAAAACAAAATCAAATTTAAGGCAAAGAGAGTAATCTGAGGAGAAATGATATCATTGCTGGGGACAGGTGATGAAATTCCAAATGGGCAGTAGTAAAGAGTAGAGTCAAGAGTGCTATTAAGATGGTTTTAGGCAGGAAATAATAAATACCCAAATACTGCCTTGGCGCTCTTTAGGTACAGGCCTGCTCTATTATTAATCAGGCTTTTGCCATTCAGGAAGCTGCTAAGTTGTGTTGGACCAATAGAACACTGCTTTTGCCAACACAGCAGACCTAGGTGGCTTTGGCCCTCTCCATCTTAAATCTGAATTTTGGAACCTGTAGCTTCAATGAGATGTAAAACTAATGCTTTCTCATGCCCTTGTAATAACTTTGGAACCAGTACCACACGAAAGAAAGTGAGAAGATTTAATGAGAGAGAGAGAAAGGAAACTGGGCTACTTCAGGCTCTGATCATTCTAACCACGTGAAATTCATCACTATTCCATTCCAAAAAATATTATTATGCTCCTATGTGGCAAGTATTGTTCTAGGCACTGGGATTATAGTAGGGAAAAACCACAAAAATAACAACAAAAAAGTACCTCCTCTTATGGAACTTACATGCTTATTCATAGAGAAAGGGAATGATACAAGCAAAGAGATCATTCCAGGCAATTAAAACAGCGATAAAACACAAGCATGTTAGAGTGATAGAGAAGACTGGATGAGGGGCTCCTCTTCTGGATATTTGGCAGATCTGGTATGCTGACCAAGGTTTCAATTGTGTTGGGAAACAATGTAAAATTATTTGAAAGCATATTTTTAAATATTCCAATGCACTAGAGAAAAAAGAAAGGAATTTCACAAACCAAAAATTAAGGAGAGGGGGAACTCAGAAAAGTAAGATGAGCACAGGGTCCGGCTTCCATCTTCAGGATATTTGTTAAACCCAGTGAACATGAACTTTGGTTTTTCATTGCTTCATGACACACGTGGGAGAGGAAAAAATTCAGATTTGCACAAGAGGGAGAGGCTAAGAGGAGACAACCCCACATAAAGCTGAGACCCCAAAGGCCTAACTCTTAGGGAGCAGGAGCAATAGAAGTAAACCTTCCATCACTTTGGAGAGTCCAAACAGAAATTCCAGTGGTGAACATGGCTGCTGAATGAGAAGGGAAAAAAAATCTGTCATAAGAGTTTATAACCATAGCCAGGCTCTCTTATGGCTCCTAAATCCAAATTCATGTTACCTGAATGGTCTGGAAAAAAAAATCAAGCTATTTGTTTGTGGTAAAGTGGCCCCTGATAGGTAGTTCCCCAGGAAACAGGCAGAAGCAAATCTCCTCATAAGGGACTCATCCTTGAATTTAGCCTCAAAGACTTTTCATATTTGTAGCTCCAAGAACTATGACCTCTTGGACAAAAGAAAAAGAGAGTCAAAAACAAACACATCCACACACAAAAAATGATGCTTTATGAGCTAAAGCTAAGTAAAGAAACACATACATGCAAACACATAACAGAATCAGATCCATGAATTCCTCACTTATCAGCATTTGTGGACTCAGAAAACAAAATAATTTTTAATATACTTAAAAAAGAAGAAATTGAAAACAGGATTAACAGTAAAAGACCATACAAAATGACTAAGGAGAACTTTTTAAAATTAAAAATAACATAATAAAAATATATAATAGAAATTTAAGACAGTGGAATGACAATAGCAGATTAAGCCCATTTAATAAGGGAATTAAAGACTTGGAATATAAAGTTAAAGAAATCATCAGGAGTGCAACACAGAAAGTATAAAAGAAATGAAAAATATGAACAATTAGTAGACATAGAGTATAAGGGCAGAGCATTTAATATATGTCCAGAAAGAAGAGAATGATAGAGAAGAATAGTTGAATACGTAATGACTGAGGTTTTCAGAAGTGATGAATGACAACAGTAGATTCAGAAAGCCCTAATAATCTCAAGCAGGATAAAAATATAAATAAATATTTCAAAAAGTTGGCCACACATTTCGCCACAATGCGAGAATTAATAAATCGCAAAGGATTGATACGACATAGATGGTATCGTCTTATCACTATGCAATTAGGTTAGGTGTTGATAACAGAGAGAGATGCAGCTAATATCGTGCGTATTTGAATTAAGCAATGATCTTCCAATAAACTCCTATGTAAAAGAAAAACAATCACAATAGGAATTAGAAAAGATTATCTTAAATGCAAATATTATGAATAGGAAAGGCTAAATATTAATGAGTTAAACATTCAATCAAAGGAATTAGGAAAAGAAATTGATAGAGTAAGCTTTCAAACAAGCTTGGAAGGAATAATGAACATAATAAGCAAAGAACAGAAAATAATGAAATAGAAAGCAAATACAGGTGGTACTTACTCTGCACAGACAGTAACAATAACCATGCCAGGTGAAACATACAAACAATCTTATTAATCCGGGGGAAAAATTACAATTGTTCTATGACTTAAGTTTTGTCAATATAGTAAAAGCTCTCTCATTGTTGGTTATAAGGAAATAAAAATACTAAAACTAATATTTATTTAGTATTTATACATTAAAACATTAGATCCATTGAGAATTAACATATTTTATTTTTGTAAGAAAATTATTGAGTGATTTGATTGCCTTCTTCTTATTGAATAACTTATGATACCTTATTTACACACTGGTGAATTATGCTCCTTTCTAAATTGGATTAGCTTCCAATATTTTACTCTTCATATTTTCAACGTTGTGAAATATTTGTCAGTATCACTTCCTCTGGGACATCTTCACCCTTTTCGATGCAACCACTTTCCTCACTTACTTCCAAAAGTTCACCCTGATTAAGTGTCCCTGGCTGTATATCTATGGTCTCTCAAAAAGTGTCAGTGTCAATGATATTCCCACAGTCACGTATTTCTACTAGAACTCCCTTTACATTCTATTTGAATTCTACAAATTATTTGTGCAATATGGTCAAAGTTTCTGCCATACTGCGCACATATTACTCGTTCAAACATATTCCTGTCATGTTTCAATGTTTTCACTTGTGTGCTTTATGTCATATTTATTCTAAAACCAAGCTAAAAAAGTTTTTGTGATTTTTAGTTTCTTTGTAATTACTGTTTTCTTTCAATGTGGCAGGAAACTTTAGTTCTTTGGCCTGAATGGGATGCTTGATTGGGATTTTTGTTTTATTAGAGCCTTTTTCTGTCCAAAAGAGAAGGAAATGCTCTATTTCAATCATAAACAGCTCTCTATACTTACTGAAATTTAAACCACAAAATGCTGAAATGACTTTACCTTGTTTTCAAAATTCATCAGACTTTTTCAAGCATACCTAGATTTTGTCCTATCTTTGCTTTGTTGCTTCATTTTCAAATCTTCGAATCACTTCCCATATTACTTTCAGTGATTTATTTTTGATTTCTTTGCTGCATGTTCTCTCTCTCACTCTCCCTCTCTCTCTCTTTTTTTTTTTTTTGGTGAGGAAGATTGGCCCTGAGCTAAATCTGTTGCCAATCTTCCTCTTTTTTTTTCTTTTCTCCCCAAAGCCCCAGTACCTAGTTGTATATCTTAGTCATAGGTCACTCTAGTTCTTCTATGTAGGATGCCACTAGAGCATAGCTTGGTGAGTGGTGTGTAGATCTGTGCCCAGGATCTGAACTGGTGAACCCTTGGCGGCAGAAGTGGAGCACAAACTTAACCAATCAGCCACAGGGCCAGCCCCTGCACTTTCATCTTTGTTGGTCAATTCTTTCTTTGGATTATCCATATCTAACAATGTCATGTTTACCCTTGGAGACAAGGAGGCAACTCAACCACATATTTTGCTGTCTGTTCATGAACTGAGTAACAGATGCTCAGCGATCAATCACCAACAGAATATGAAAAAAAGTGACATGATGGGACTGCCCTGGTGGCGCAGTGGTTAAGTTCGCATATTCCGCTTTGGCAGCAAGGGGTTTGCTGGTTCAGATCCCGGGTGCGGACATGACACTGCTTGGCAAGCCATGCTGTGGTAGGCGTCCCACATATAAAGGAGAGGAGGATGGGCATGAATGTTAGCTCAGGGACAGTCTTCCTCAGCAAAAAGAGGAGGATTGGCAGCAGATGTTAGCTCAGGGCTAATCTTCCTCAAAAAAAAAAAAAAGTGACATGATTATGCAATTACTCACAGTTAATATACTGTGATAACTGAAATTTTAAGTGTGTTGTTGGGAGACTGGCACTTTAACCAGAAGAATTGAAATTAAAACAGTGTATCAAAAACAGTACAAAGCAAGACTGTCTGAATATCAATAGTAAACACTGAAAAACCCAAAAGCTAGTTCTCTTAAAAGACTAATAACAATGCCAAAACTCCAGAAATACACTGGTAAAGAGAGGTCTAACACACACGCACACACACACACACACACACACGGAATGGTGATAGTGACATTATATGGTGTATGTGATAAAAAGATACTAAAAGATTACAAAATATCATAGTAATAGGTTAAAAAGCTTACACAAAATTATCAAATTCCTAGAAGTTTAACTTCTCAAAATGAAACTGAAAAGAGATAAAAATCCTGAAGGGTCTCATAATCTTTTAAACGTTAAGATAAAATCTTAAAATTTCCTCCCAATAAAACACTAGATATGGAGAGTTATATTGTGAAACCCTGCTAAACACGCAGGGAACAAATTACAAATCTTCTACCACTGGCCAAAATTTAAAAAGTGGAGGGAACACTCTTCTTCTCAGTTTCTATGAGGCTACTCTAATAGGGAAACCAAAATCTGACAAGGAATTATGAGAAAGGAAAACCATGGTCCCAGTCTCACTCAATAAATCACAGTGAAATTTTTCAGTAAAATATTGATACATCCAATCCCAGCAGGAGACATGAAGACCACACTGGATTTACATGAGGAATGAAAAACTAACCTAGCCTTAGGAAATTGATCAATAAAACTACATTAACTGATTCAAGGAGAAAAACATTATAATCTTTACAGTCAATAGAAGTCAAAACAGATTTGATACGTTTATTTCCATAAAAATGTTTAAATAGAAATTAGGAATAAAATATATTTTCAAAGTACATCATAGCAAACAGCCTGCTACCTGATGAAACATTGAAACATTCTCTTTAAATGATAAAAAGAGAAGGTGCCCTCTCCCATCACCGTCATTCTGTTCAGCACTGTACTGAAAGTCCCACGGAGCACAGTATGGCAAGAAAAAGAAGTATAAGCTTTGAAATGAAGAAGTAAAAATTCAATATAATTGTCTGCATGGAGTATATACAAACTCTATAGACAAATCGTTGGAACTAATGAGCTTAGCAAGTTGTCAATTTATCGATTATATATGTCTATGTGTATGTATATTATAGTCTATTGATATTCACTATACATATATATGACAAAAATATACCATTTTTCAAAAATATCATTTATAGAATAAATAATAAAGTAGTTGAGAACTAATCTAAAATGCACAATTCTTTAGGAAGGAAACTATAAAATGCTATTTAAAGATACTTACTAATACCTAAATGTATTTAGGAAATCACTATGTCCATGGATTGGAAACATGTCAAATCTCACACATTCACATTTAGAGTCGATACAGTTCCAACTAGAAACTTCATGCCTCATTTGTTTATTGGAACTTGACAAACTAATTCTATAATTTATATGGAAGAGAAAAAACTCCATGAAGAGCCAAGGCTACGCTTAAAAAAATGGATGAGGTATGCCTTAAAAGCAATCATGACAGGGTGATATTGATACAGAGATAGGCAATATGATGAATTTCAGTCCATGCATTTTTGGAAACTGGATGAGGATAATTTGTTATTGTAAATTTGTAGGTAAGTTGCACATCAGTTCTTTACTTTTAACAAATGGTCTTGAGACAATTGACTATTGGTTATTACATGGAAATCAATGAAAGTGTACCTTACCTAAAACCATACATAAAAACCATGTCCAGGTATTTAAAGAGAAAAAATAAAAGGTAACTTTTTTGGAAGACAATATAGGAGACGATTATTATGATTTTGATCGGGGAATGATTCCTGAAACAAGTCACAAAATGCATAAGCCATAAAAGAAAGAGAAATTAAACTCATATAAATTGAAATAAAAAAATTCTGTTCATCAAAAGGCAGACACCAGAGACTAGCATAATATTGGGCACTAGAGAAATAACTAAATGATTTTCAAAGCCAAGTGGGATTGCGCTAACATAGAGCCTGGATGGGTTTATTAAGTGAGGCTGGAGGGATAAACGAAACAGTTTAGAAGAGAAATTCAGACTTATTACAATATCTTTAGAGTTAAACTTTTGAATTTGAATTTCTTCTCTTGTGTCTGTTCGTGGTACATGGAACACAACATTCCTTAACTCTCTGAACTACAATTGCCAATCTAAGTAGAAAGGATAGTGCTCATTTCATAGGCTTTCTGTGAAGCTAATAGAGGTAATCATAGAGCTAACATCCATGGAATGCTTTCTCTGTGCCAAGAACTGCACCTATATTAACCAATTTAGTCTCCACAATAGCTCTATGAGATAAGTATTAATATTGTTCATGTTTTTCAAATATGGAAACTGGCTTGCCTGAGGTTACATAGCCAATAAGTGGCAGAGACAAGATTCAAACCCAGACGATCTGACACCAGAGTCTGAGCTCTTACCATGACCTAATCTGCCTTCCTATCTCTGTAAATAATTTTTTGTAATACACATGGATACGGAAACTTAGCAGACACAATGAATGACAGTTATTATTTTCCAAACAACCTCTCAAAATGCATGTGGTTATTCATTTTGACAGCTGAGAAACATGGTTTCAAATTATGTAATCGGGAAGAAAAATTACTTACTTGCTATTACGTTATTAAAGAAACACTTATATTTTGTTCAAAACTTTCCTCCAGGACTGAGAACATTACAATAACTTCTTTATGTCTCAATTTTTCCCAGTATAGCTCCTCATGGTCAGGGGCTGGGCCTTATTCACTGTTTCATTCTGCATGAGTAATAGAATGCTGGCATCTAACAGGTGCTTGGTATGACTGTGATGAATAAACAAATGATCATGGATTTAGGCCCAGCTACCTAGTACTAGTTTGGGAATAAGATCTGATTTTGTGTCAGTCTTGTCTTCTCAGGTCATTCTTGTCTCTCAGCTTATTCAACCATGCGTGTTAATAAAAAGGTGCAAAGAATGGAATGTGGACTGAATTGGAACTCATATGGTTTTACTTGTCTAATATCTGTATGCATTATCTTGCCTTCTTTTGTTCCACAGAACTTCAGACAGTCCCAGGCTCAGAGAAGTCATGCAGTTTCTTACTGAATTCTCAGAATACACAATTGTTTACCTGAAATTAATGCACAAAAGTATACGGTCAAATAAAACTTCGGAGCTAGTGAGATTTCCAATTTTCTGGATTCCTTTGAAAAAATTTTACTCACCCCTGCGTGGGGATGTCTGACTTGTTGACAGTGTTCTAAATCAAGGTGAAGAGACTGCTTAGGTATTCTGTAAAGAGATATTTCTCACACCTCACAAAAAACAAACACTCAGAATGTTCTGAGAAACCTTACAGTGTGGAATGCATTATTTCATTTCTCTTATAAACATGGAAGTGTACAGAAGAAAATTCCTACAACTATGTGAATAGTGAATGACTTGCAGGAAAGAGCTGTGCCAGATCCCAGATTCTCTGCTTTCACAAAGTTGTTGCGTGTGCTCTCGGGATGTACGCTTTCTTTTGTCTTTCTTTCTCTTTGCTTTCTTTTATTTTTCTTTCCCTTTTACTTTATTTCTTAGCCAGACCTACCAGAACAGCAGCTGCAACTTGATATAATTATTTTAATTGTTTGCATGCAATAAAACTGTTAAAAGCAATTTTAATTTTTAGCAGTAAGTAGGTTTTATTGCAAAGTTATATTGTTGCTCATAGCTATCCAGTGTAATGGGTACTTAGGAGAGTATTTTAGTCTGGACTGTTACGTCTCCTTTATCCACCGTATGCCTAGCCAAGTGTTACAATTTTGCCCACAGGATAACAAAAGAAACGCGAATAGGAGCAATTAAAAGATATGAATAATACTGACACCTCTTTATTATCTTCCAGGTACCATTGAACTGCCCGAGACATTAAATGGTAATGATGCAGTTACAGTTATTTGCCAATCAAAGTGATTCCTGAGGAAGCACAGAGACATTTATTTCCAGGCTTTGATGGCTATTGTACTGCATTATTGGATTTGGAAAATAAAGCAGGCGTCGATAGAAGTGTCTACTCGGTAACTGATGATGCCAGGCTCCTCCAAGGATTCAGCACACATGGGCTAACTTTGTGCACCAGGTAACGGAAATTAAACATAGGTTTCCTGTGTTGTTTCATAATGTAAACTTCGTTTGGTTTCTTTTTTTCCTTTTTTCTTTCTTTTCTTTTCTCCCTCATCCTTTCCTTTCTTCCTCCTCTCTGTGTCTTTTTATTAATTCTGTGATTTTCTGTGCCTCACTCTGCTCCTCTTGCTTCCTTTCCCTTTCTGTGGTTGAATGGAACTCTGTTTCAGGCACACCCCATCTACTATTCAACAAACGTGGTTCTGGCCACAGCGCATTTGACTCCACAATCTGCTTGTACACCCTTCAGTTGCAAAATGTGGCTTTCTTAACAGTGCAGGCTTCATTCTCACTTTTCTTCATTGTCCTTGTGTCTATCATTTAAGTACGATTTTCTTTATCCTTTTGCCTCTTCCTAGTTCCCTCTCCTGTCCTTATTTTATTCGCTTCCCCTACAACGCTCGTGTTTTCCAAAATCCAATTCATTTGGAAGCTTCCCTGAAAATCTCTGAGGTGAGACACTGTGCTTGCTTGTTCTTAGCCTCCCTGCCGTCCATTCATCTTATTCCAACCTTCTGTATTTCACTCTGTGGAGTTTTCCAGTTAAAAGAAATGGATGGGTCAGCACTAGTTTTAATTTGGTTTCCCAGTTCTACCCAAAACCAAACTGAATGCCCTATATTAATGCTGCAGACTCCTTTGTTGTGTTCTGACTCTGCTTTTCTTCCTTCTGCCCTCTCCCTTTCCGCGGATAATCCCTTCTCTTCCTCAAATGAGAGCTCAGCACAGTCTGCTCTCCAAGCTCTCTCTTCCAGCTATTAGTCATGTATCTACTAATTTCAGTTCTCCATATTTGTTGAGTCTCAACCTCTCTCTTGATCCTGCTTAGATGCTTAAGATTTCTTTTAATTGTCTGAAATAAATGACTCAAGAAAAAATAAGTTTATCCTTCCATGTAGACACTAGCTTCCTTGAGGGCGATGTTTATATCTCGAAGTGGTTTTGTCTCCCACACAAATCCTGAGCCCAAACAAATACACAGCTATATAAGTGGTTCACAGGTAATTAAATATCTCTTTTTCTGACCACATTCATACTGACTAGTAGTAAAAATAAAACAAAAGATAGATAACACTAGAGTGACCTTCAGTTTTCCCAAATTCTAGACCCAGCTTTCTCACTGACTAGTGTATCTCTCAGAACTTCAGCTCAGTCGGCTGTAAATAATAATTTTTGTCCTAATTGTCCGAGGTTCCTTATTCTAGATCATAATATTCCATCATTCTCTAACCATGGCAATATCGGTGGACTTGTATTTGTTTCCATTAAAAATTCACAACAATCAGCAAACAAATTTTCATTGTATATCATTTATGTACCAGGCACTGTTCTAGAGAGTGGAAACATTGCAGTGAACAAGACAGATAAAATGCTTACCTTTGAGCAAACGACATTTTGAATGAGGGAGAAAGATAATAAACACATTAGTTTTTAAAAAGTAATATTTATTTTGGGGGCCAGCTGGGTGGCGTAGTGGTTGAGTTCTTGCACTCCACTTCGGTGGCCTGGAGTTTGCAGGTTCTGATCCCAGGTGCGGATGACCTAGCACTGCTGTCAGGCCACGCTGTGGCGTCATCCCGCATAAAATAGAGGAAGATTGGCAACAGATGTTAGCTCAGGGCCAAGCTTCCTCACACACACACACACACACAATAAAAATACTTATTTAATTCAGATATTGATAAGTGTTAGGAAGAAAATAAAATGGGATAGTGGGATGCAGAGTGGCAGGAGAGAGCTTCCTCAAAGGTCAAAGGGAGAGCTAAGATGAGCCGGGGGATGAGAAGCAGAGTCGTTTAAGCTGACCTGAATGACAAGAATCTGGCAACCACACAAAAATCTGGGAAAGAAGATTCCATGTGGAAGGGACTGCAAGGGTTGCGTCTCTGATGAAGGAGAAAGCCAATGTGGCAGAAAAACACAGCACAAAGATTTGATTTTGATATTAAGTGGGATGGAAGCCACCGGAAGTTTCTGAGTGATGTAAAAATGGAGGCAGGAGATGCTTATGTTTAAAAAATTCACTCTCACTGCTATTTGAAGAAGGCCCTTTGGGATGATGCAGCACAAGAGGGAAGCCAGGAGACTAGGAGAGAGGTTTTTAAAGAGAAGATCTAGAAGCAAAGCAATTATTTGATAGGTTACAGCATAAGTGGTTACCTTGTTTGGGAAAGCCTAGCTGGCTATTTGTGATTGGCTGTTCTTAAGTTTCATTTTCTTGGTTTTGAGTGCATGGACTCTGGCTTGGGTTTTGGTTTGCTTACATAGGCTACCAAGCATTAGAGACGCCCTAGTCTACTGGCTTCCACGTTTAATTACTTTAACACTTGAAGCGGTCTGTCTTTGCAGAATCAGTAAATGCCCTCTTTGCTGAAGCTGCATATTCAGTACATCTCACAGGAAATGTTCACATAAATGGTCAGCGCAGGACCACTCATAGGCTATTAGGGTAAAACAGGTGCTCTGTTTCTGCAGGTTCTGTATTCCTTTTGAATCATCTCCCTCCATTTAGGAAGTCATTTTCTCAGAGACCCTGGGATTCCCTTCTCCCATATTCAAAACTTAATTATCCATTTTCTCACAGATTTCCCTTTTAAATAAAGCTGTGTAGATAATAAAACACTCTATGTAACATCTAACCCTAGCTTAGACAACAGTCTAGAGAAATAAATCACTTGGCTAAAAATGTCTTCTAAAGGACTCTAGTTCTCATTTGGGCAACCAATACAAACAGACTACCTTAAATCATATGTATGATTAAAAAAAGAAAATCCACAAAAAGCTGTATGGCAAAGCCCATTAGCACAGGGCAACAATTATCCTCTTGGTAGTTACCCAAATATCCTCCAAGGTTTCTGAATTTTCTACAATAATGTTTTAAGGTTTGGTCTCTATTTTGATGGTAATATATGCTTACAAAATTAATGCAAGCATATTATGCAGTATCTGGGCGAACACTCCGACTGGGATTTGTGCCTGCTTTGAATTTGTGATTCCAATAGTGTGTATACCGAGTATACTCTTTAGTTCACCCTGACTTAGGAGAAAAGAGCAAATGAATAGTTGTTGGCCTCTCTCTGGAAGAAAATCCCAAAGTGCACCAGTTTGAAGGTTTATATAAGTAATCAGAAGAGTGAAACAAAATAGGACAAACAGGAAAACTGAGTTATCATATAGTACAAGTAGTAAGGGCAGTCAAACTGAAAAGACCTCATAACACAGCAATCAGCCCATATGCAAATGGTAGGTGGAGGCTTAGCTAAATATCATCTATTCCATTAAATTAGTGTACTGAAAATGAGTTTTATTGATTTTGTGGGATTTTTTCCCTTTTTTTAATTTGATTTGTAAATTTGATTTTGGTTGTTATACAAAGTTTAGGTAAAAGAATACTGTAACTCATTTTGCTGCACATTTAGTTTTATAAGAAGTAACAAATAGAGGATGGGTTCATGAGAATCATTTTTCTTTAAAAGAGTTTAATATGCAAATGAATTTTAGAAAACACTCACTGGAGCAAGATAGATGTGGATTTTATATTGGTGTTACTATTTGCCAGATGTGGCAACTTGGCAGTCCTTTTAACAACTCTGAGCCTCAGAGTTTCTGTCCACAAGTTAGGGATAATGCTTGCCTCAGTAGAGAGTTTTGAGGTTCATAGAATCATTTACATGATGGTGCCCCCAGATTTTCATGTCTCATCTAGAATCTCTCCTGAGCTCAGTAGCCATCATATAATCTGCACCCTAATGGCTATAGTCACTTAAGTATCTCAAAGGCACTTCCAACTCAATATATTTAAAACTCGCTATCTCATTTACCCAAACCTCATCTATCCTAGTACATGACACCAGCATTCACTAAGTAGTAGAAGTCATCAATTAAAACCTCGTCATTGACTTTCATCCTTCTTGTTGCTTCACATGTAAGACATCCCTAGGTCTTTCCATTTTACTTCTTCAACAACTTTTGAATCAGCACTTCTCTGTATCTGATGGTGAGTACCTTAGTTCAGGTCTCAATCACCTTTCTTGGATTAATGGAGCAGCCCTTATAGCATGCCTGTGGTCTTTCTTCTCCCCAGTCCATTTTCCATGATAAAGGAAGGTTGGTTTTCTGGAAAGATAAACTTGATCACAGCTGCTTACAAACCTCCGAGACCAATGCCTTCAGAATATAACTCAACTTGTTACTATGGCTTATAAATTCTTTCGTGTTCTAGTCTCAGCTTACATCTCCCAATTTATCAGCCTCTTCTCTTGGCCATTTTTCCAGACATCTTTAACATCTATACTAATTGCAATTTTTTCAAATGTATTATTCTTTCTCTTATTCTTTGCACATAATATTCTTCTGATTCCTGGAATATTTTTACTTACTCTCTATCCTCCTTGACTTTTGCCTTTGTTTCAACCTTCCCTGGCCTGCAAAGACCAGATGTGTGCCCTTCAACATGATACCCTAAGCACTCTGTCTTTCTTACGGTATATCAATTACCCCATCATGCTTAATCGGTTGCTTAGAATTACTTATTTTTTTAATTGTACTGTGAGCTATTTGCAAGAAATTCTTTCTTATTCATAGTTGTATTCCTCAGCATTTTACAAATAGTAGTTTTTACATAATTTTTTGCTGAATGAATGGTTAGTATGACGTAAGTGGTAACTGAATATTTGATGATTTTTTAGGATGTTTGTTTTTTCTCACTACACAGCATTTCGAATTTTATTGTTTTCTCCTCTCATGTTTCTTACGTACACTTTATCTCTTTGCGGAGAAGAGTTACCTTTTGTATTTCTTGAATACCCCATGGCTCCTGGGATAGTTAGAAACTCATAGTAGGTGTTTAAAATACTTACTATTTAACTGAGTAATCAAATTAATTATAATGGCAGTGAATTTATAGGTATATCCATCAAAATGATTACCAGAAGGTGTTCAGACAAAGACACTGGTTGAGTGACTAAATATTTAATCATCTGATTAAGTATTTTTACACCATTTAGTTCTTATGATATAAGAGAGAGGAATTTTTTGAGCAGAAAGACCGTGACTCTGGAAATGAGATTTACTCAGTCACCAGAATGATTTACTCCATCGTCAAAGACCATTTTAGGTACTTTTGTTAATAATGTCCAGAAAAAGAACACGTCTCTCAAATATTACTTTTCCCTGCAGTTTTCTGTTTGTTTACTTTGTTAAAGAGATCGCAAATGGGAAGTCATGCTAAACTCTCCTCATATGAATCAACAGGTATATCTATTCAGAGGAATACAAATGTAACAATAATAAAAATAATAATAACGTTATATGCTTTCATATATTAATAACTGGACTTTGTCCTTGTACAGCTAGTGACCTTGTTTCAGTTATAACTGAGAAGAGAAATGAAGAACAAAGGAATCAGCTGATTCTTTCGACAGATAAAGATAAGTGATGATAGCTAATTACGATTAGCATCTGGGAATTACACTGTATTAAAAAGCCTGGGAAGGGAAAGTGATCAGCATCGCAATTTCTTTTTCATTGTTATGCTCTGTACATAAGACAATTTTGAAAGGTAACTTAAAAGGACAATTCTCAGAGGATTCTGCATTGTTTAGAATAATAAGTGCAAAGACATTAGAATCTGTATTTATTTGTCAGATGATTATAAACTACCTATAATTCTTTGTTTCTTCCCATGTTTCATGTATATAAGCCTGTTAATAACCATATATCTGGAAATAATATAATTTATGGCTCAAAACATACCATAGTGGAAATTTAAAAGTTTTTAGAACCAAATGATAATAAAAATACTAAATTTCAAAACTTGTGAGATGTAGCAAGTATGGTACCTGAAGGAAATCTATTGCATTAAATTCTTATAAAAGAAAATAAGGAAAGCTTAGAACTAACAAGTAAAACACTCAGCTTAAGATGTTGAAAAACAAAAGCAGAACAAATTCCCCCAAAAGGAAAAGAAAAGATAAAGAAAATAACAGAATTATTATTATAATTTGTTGTTATATATAACTATATATCTTGTTATAAATTATAGTTTATAATTTTATAAACTTATATATACATAAAAGTTAAAGACTAGAATCAGTAAATTCAAAACTTGGCTTTGGAACAGCTAATAAAATAGATTAAAATTCCAGTAAGATTGATCAAAGGAAAAAAGGAAACAAGATTGAAAAATAGAACATGACAATAGATATAGGAGACATTAAGGAAACTGAGAAAAAATTTTGAAGAATTTTTGTAGCAAAAATTTTGAAAAGTTAGATAAAATGGGTAAATTTCAAGAAAAATATAACTTACTCCAAATTACCCAAAGCAAAGCAGACAGTATAACCAGGTCTATAAACATGAAAGAAGTTGAACAGATAGTTTAAAATCTCTCTCACCTAAAAATAAATAATAAAAGGATGATTTTATTTTATTTTATTTTTGAGGAAGATTAGCCCTGAGCTAACATCTGCTGCCAATCATCCTCTTTTTGCTGAGGAAGACTGGCCCTGAGCTAACATCTGTGCCCATCTTCCTCTGCTTTCTATGTGGGACGCCTACCACAGCATGGTTTGCCAAGTGGTGCTGTGTCCGCACCGGGAATCCGAAACAGTGAACCCCTGGCCGCTGAAGCAGAACTTGTGCACTTAAGTGCTGAGCCACTGGGACAGCCCCAAGGATGATTTTTAAATAGCTTAAAACTTCAAGAAATGGATTATGCAAAACATTGAAAATATTCCAGGGAAGCAAAAAAAAGGGAACAATTTCTGACTCATTTTATGAGGCTTTTATGACTTTGGTATTAAAATCAGACAAGAAGAATATGAAAATGAAGAATTATATTTTAATCCATTTACACTTGTCAATGTGTCCCCAGCATTTCCCATTTAAGGCATATGAGTCTAAATAATGCGACAAGATTTCTCTGTGTCTCAGTCTCTGAAAGTTATTTTCAGAGAGGAATATCAGGCATGTTTCTATTCATGTCTTTAATAATGACACTATGCCTAGAATAAAGCTTTAAATTTCCAGAGTTTTGAAAAATTTTAGTCATTAAGCACAGAAGCTGTAGTCTCCTGTTGTACCGATTAATTCTATTGTCTTTATTTGCTCCCAATTTACAAAGTTCAGTTCAAACCTTAATAAGTAATAATTTTATAAACAAAAAAAGGGAAACTAAAGAAAAAGAGAATAAAGGAACATTAGCATTTGGCAAAAGTAAGCAATTGTTGTGTCCAAAGTGGAAGAAAATGAATGCTTATTGATCATCTAAAGTATCTCAGAGACTATTCTAGACATAGTAATTATGACATCTCACTTAATTTTCCTAGCCTTATATAACAAAGACAATTAACCTTGTATAAATGGAGAAACAAGCTTACGGAAGTTAAGTTACTTGCCTAACTTCACTTAGCCTGTAGGTAATAGACCTAGGATTCAAACATAAGTAAATTTTGATTTCAAAGTCCACGCTTATATTGGGCTGAATGGTTTATTTAAGTATTATAGAAAATTTACATTTTGAGACTAGAAAGGAAAGGGCATGTTTTTAGTATAATGGCATATACCAATATTAATAATTGATCAATCTTTGTCCTTTGCCCAGTCTGTGATACTGAAATCATATGTAGACTAATAAACTTAATGAATTTTCTAAGTAAACTTTTTAATTTTGGAATGATTTGGGATTTACAGCAAAATTATAAAAATAGTACAAAAATTTCCTTTTATGCCTCACACATTTTTCCCTAATTTATATTATCAGGGTCCATTTGTCAAAATTAAGAAACTAAAATAAAAAGAGTGAGAGAAAAAAAAAGAAATACACAATACTAATATCAGGAATGATATGGGGGATGGCACTACAAACCCCACAGACATTAATGATACTTAATGGTGAAACAATGAATGCTTCCTGTAAGATGAGGAACAAGGTAAGATGTCTACTCTCTCTACTTTTATGTACATTGTACTTAAACTCCTGACTAGTGCAATAAGGCAAGAAAACTAAACAAAAGCCATACAGATTGGAAAGAATTAAACTGTACCAGTTTGTAGATTACATGATTCTTCTACGTAGAACATACAAAGGAATCTACAAAATGAACAAACAAATAAATATAAATCTTCTAGACTTAATAAGTGAGTTAGCAAGGTCACAGGATTCAAGGCCAACACATAAAAATCCATCACAATTCTATATACTAGCAATGAACTCCTGGCAATCAAAATAAAAGAAAACTAAAAAAAATACCATTTACAATAGTGCCACAAAAAACTAAAAACTTAGATGTAAATCTAAGAAAGCATGTATAAAATCCATATGCTGAAAATTAGAAAAAGCTATTGAAATAAATCACAAAAAATTTTTGTAAATGACATATTCAGCTAAGGACTTTCATCCAGAATATTTTTTAAAAATTCAATAATTAAGAAAAAAACTTGTTTTAAAAAACGGGCAAAGGGGCCAGCCTGGTGTCACAGCAGTTAGGTTTGTGCTCTCCACTTCAATGGCCCAGAGTTCACCGGTTCGGATGCTGGCCATGGACCTCACCAGCGCTTATCAAGCCATGCTGTGACAGGCGTTCCACACATCAAGTAGAGGAAGATGGGCACAGATGTTAGCTCACAGCTAATCTTCCTCAAAACCAAAAGGGCAAAATATTTGAATATGTACTTCACAAAAAAGGATATACACGTGGAAATAAGCAACAAAAAAATATGTTCAGACTCGTTAGTCATTAGAGAAATGAAAATTAAAAAGTCAATGAAATGCCATTATACACCTATTAGAATTGATTAAAAAAATGAATAATATCAAATACTGGCAAGGTTGCAAAACAATTGGAACTCTCATACATGGCTGATGGGAATGCAAATTGGTAGAGCCACTTAAAGAGCAGTTCGTGAGTTTCATATAAAGTTATGCCTAAACTTAAACAATATGGCCTAACAGCCCTACTTTTCTTTATCAAAGTGACAAGAAAACTTATCTTCACACAAAAATCTCTATACAAATGTTTGTAAAGTTTTTTTCAAAACTGCCAAAAGCTGGAAACAACCCAAATTTCTCTCAACTGTGGAATTGATAAAATAACAGTGGTACATCACTCAATAGAATGCTACTCAGTAATAAAAAGGATCAAATTACTGGTACACACAACAATATAGATGAATTTTCAATGCATAAACTAAGTGGAAGAAGCCAGACTAAAAAGACCATATACTATATTAATCCATTTATATAGCATTCTGGAAAAGATAAAAATTTAAGAGACACAAAAACGAACCAGTGGTTTCCAGAGGCTGAATATTGAGGGACTCAGGGTGCGGCAGAGAGATTTGGGTAAAAAGTGACCCAGGAGAATTTTTTGGGTGATGGAATTGTTCTATGTCTTAACATTGGTGTGTTTACATGACCCAACACATTTATCAAAACTCTCAACACTATACACTAAAAAGGGGGAACTTTACTTCGGTAAATTTACCTTAATAAAAACATGAAAAACAAAAACCTATGATGTTGTAAGAACAGAATTATTTTCTCATTAAAATGACAAAGGATATAATGCTCAGACAAGTGAAGTAGGAGCTCATAGAGATTCTTCCAGTCCACCCCAGCTCCTCACTCTAAGTTAATTGTGAAGGAAAAGCAGGCAAAGAAGTGTGATTGATTCTTTTTGAAAAAGATGAGCTAAGAACTGGAAACGTGAAGGAAATTCAGTGTTCTACAATGGCAAATGAGTAGAGATTTTTAAAATTTGCATATGTCTTTTATTATAATTTGTCTCGAATACTTTTCCAAAGAGTGGTATTTAAATACGTATTTTATTTTATTTTTTTCAGCTTCACTGAGTTATAATTAACGAATAAAATTGTAATATACTTGAAGTATACAAAGGTGATATTTTGATATACCTGTACATTGTGAAAGAATTCCCATCATCGAGTTAATTAACACATTCATCACTTCACGTATTCACTTTCTGTTGATGAGAACGCCTAAGTTCTACTCTCTTAGCAAATTTCAGTAATGCAATGCTGTATTATCAACTATAGTCACCTGTGATACATGAGATCCTCAGACCGTATTCATCTTATAACTGAAAGTTTGTACTCTTTTACCAGCCTCTACCCACTTCTTTCACCCCCTACCCACTAGCAACCACCATTCTACTCTCTGTATCTATGAGCCCAAATTTTTTTTAGATCCCAAATGATACCATGCAGTATTTCTCTTTCTCTGTCTGACTTATTTCACATAGCATAATGCTCTCCAGGTTCATCCATGTTATCACAAATGGCAGGATTTTCCTTTTTTTAAGCCTGAATGACATTCCATGGTATATTTGATAGAGATTGTATTGATAAATGGCTTTGGGTAGTATGAACATTTTAATAATATTAATTATTCCAATCCATGAACAGAGAATATCTTTCCATTTATGCGTTTCTTCTTCAGTTGCTTTATCAACGTTTTATAGTTTTCAGTGTATGTATCTTCACCTCTTTGGTTAAATTTATTCCCAAGTATTCCTTTTAATGCTATTTGTAAATGGGATTAATTTCTTTCTGATAGTTCCTTGTTAGTGTATAGAACATAACTGGTTTTTGTATATTGATTTTGTATCCTGCAACTTTAGTGAATTCATTGGTTATGTAAAACAGGGGTTTTTTTTGTTGGAGTCTTTAGGATTTTCTACATATAATATCATGTCATCTGCAGAGACAATCTTAATTCTACCTGATTTGGATGACTTTTATTTCTTTTTCTTACCTGATTGCTCTGGCTAGAATTTCCAATACTACATTGAATAAAAGTGGTGAGAGTGAGTATCCTTGTCTTGTTCCTGATCTTAGAGGAAAAGCTTTCAGCTTTTTATTTTTGAGTATGATGCTAGCTGTGGGCTTGTAATATATAGTCTTTATCTTGTTAAGTTACATTCCATCTACGCATAATTAATTGAAAGTTTTTGTCATGAAAGGATATTGAATTTTGTCAAATGCTTTTTCTGCATCTATTGAGATGATCATATTAATTTTACCTTCATATTGTTAATGTGGTATATCACATTTATCGATTTGCACATATTGAACCATCTTTGTATCCTTGGAATAAATCCTACTTGATCATGGTGTATGATCATTAAATATGTGTTTTCTTGAGGACTTTTGCATCCATGTTCCTCAAGGAATATTTTAGCCTGTAATTTTCTTTTCTTGTAGGGTTCTTGTCTGACTTTGGTATCATAATAATGTTGGCCTCATAAAATGAGTTTGGAAGATTTCCTTCCTATTCTAATTTTTGGAAGAGTTTGAGAAGGATTGGAAGTAACTTTTCTTTAAATGTTTCCTAGAATTCAACAGTGAAGCCATCTGGCCCTGAACTTTTCTTTGTTGGGAGGTTTTTGGTTACTGATTCAGTCTCCTTACTAGTAATTGGATTGTTCACATTTTCTATTTCTTTGTGATTCAGTCTTGGTATGTTGTATGTTTCTAGGAATTTATCCATTTCCTCTAGGTTATCTAATTTGTTGGTGTATAATTGTTCATAGTAGTTTTTTATGATCCTTAATACTTCTGTGTTATCAGTCATAATGTCTCCCTGTTTATTTCTGATTTTATTTACTTTTTATATTTGTTTATTATTTATTTTATCTCTCTCTCTTTTTTTTTTTAGTTAGTCTCACTTGCAGAGATTTAATATAATCCTGGAAGGCAGATTCTTTAGTTCAATGATACATGTTCAGTGCCTAGAAGAAGCTTGGCACATAGTAGATTATATATATATATATATATATATACATACATATATATATATACATACATACATGCACACATATATCTACTATAGAAAAGAGAGAAACTGAGTGAGTTAGAACAGATAATAATCATCTTCTTCTGCAAAGCAAGCAAGACAAACTAGATGCATATGTAGGGTGTGGAGTTTTGGGTCGAAGACCTGAAATTTTAAAAACGATATGTTTGTCAATATCCCAAGCTGGAGGAAAGGCACAGTAGCTTCAATTTGTAGACCTGGCTAGTGTCTAGCACATGGTAGGTGATCTAACAGTATTTGCTGAAGGCACAGTCATTGAAAGAAATTGAGGTATGACTATTTATATTCTCATTCATTCTGGCCTTATTTAATCTTGTCTAAAATATAAACAGAATAATCTTTTCAACTGTAATTCTTATCATGTTACTTCCTTATTTAAAACTATCTTTATTTCTCACTTTTCTTAAGCAAAGGCAATACTCTCACTGATGGTTTACTAGCACCTGTATTGTCTGGCTTTTATGTATCTTGGTAAAATCATCTCCCTCTATACTCAATATTTTAGAATAATCCTGATGCTCATCTTTAAAAACCATATTGGATTTTCACTAAAACTTCATTGGACTTGTTTTGTAGGCTCTTCTCCAAGGACTAAATGGTCATATTTTTTTTTACTTACTCCCTCCTTAAGGGAAATATTTATTTCTATATACACACACTGAACAATAAATAAAAGAAGGAGGAGAGAGGAGACAAGACCAAAGACTTAGGAAAAGAAGAAACTAATAGCTACATTCACAAAAGCATATAAGTTAGACCAAAGTCTCTTATCCACTCTTGTTTCTTTGTCCCCTTTTCTCCCATGAGGAAAAGGAAAACAAGGACTCAGCCATAATATCCAAGTCTTTCAGAAATCTAATCAATTCAATATTTTGCCAAACACACAATTTAATTGAAAAAGTAAATTATTTTGTATTGTAAAGAAGATTGTTTTGAAAACCATTTATATACTAATTAGAATTCTAATTAGTTTCTATAATGAGAAATATGTGATGACAATTTTATTTCTCCAGAGATTGTCTGGGAATATTATTAAGAAGTTAGTTTAGAAGCAACAGCCAATTAAGACTCTTACTTTGGATAGAAAAATAAACATAAAAAACATTATACCTAGCTAACTCTTTAGAAGAAAAACTAAAGACAGATGACTATGAAATAATTAGAAATGAGAATATCGTAATGATTTTCATTTTGTTCTGATCTACTAACAGCACTACAAAATTAAAGTGGATGATATATTTCTTGTGTTACCAAATCAGGCCTATTTACCCTTTGTATATTCATCCAGTCACCCTCCACCTTTTGTTTTATACTAATTGCCTCCCTAGGTTCTTTTTTACTTCTCATCTACCTGTAGCCTACAGTTAGATTCCTATTCCTAAAGCACACCTTCCATTATGTCTCCCCATCTCTAATTACTTCAAGATATATTGCATCTTCCTTTACCTCTCAGAAATCACCCATCATAGTCTGGCTTTGAAGACAGTGTTGCTTACTCACCTTTTGGACTTCATTTCCGTAATACTAAAAAACATCTATCGTCTTTTTTAACCACACATCTCTATTTACTTTCCAACGTATGTAGCAGTATTTTTCTTAGATCTTGGACAGAACAGGGAAAAAGAAAAAAAGAAAAATGAACAGAGTTTCAGAAAATTTGGGACACCATAAAACACACCAACATATGTATAATGGGAATACCAAAGGAGAGAAGAGAAAGAAAGGAGTAGAAGAAATATTTGAAGAAATAATGTCTGAACCTCTCCCAAATTTGATAAAAACATTAATCTACATAGTCAAGAAGCTCGATGAACCTCAACTAAGACAAACACAAAGAAATACATACCCGTACAAATATTAGTCAAAATATTGAAAGTAAAAGAGAAAGAGAAAATCTTGAAAGCAGTAAGAGAAAATGATTCATCACAAAGGGACTCCATTAAGATTAACTATTGACATCTCATTAGACAATGGAAGCCAGAAGGCAGCAGGACAACATATTCAAAATGCTTAAAAAACTCTCAACCAAGAATCTTAAATCCAGCAAACCATGTTTTAAAAATAAGGGAGAAATAAATACATTTCCAAACTACAAAACAAGCAAACAAAAAAACAGAATTCATTGATAGAAGACTTGGCTTACAAGAAACCTTGAAAGAAATTCTTAGTTTGAGAGCAATGGACATCAGGCAGTAATTAAAATCCATACAAGAAAATAAAGACTGCCAATAAAAGTAAATATGTAGATAATTACAAAAGACAACATAACTGCATATTTCTTGTTTTTACTTCTTCTGGTTTCAAAAGTAAATTGCATAAAGTGATATGCATATAATTGCATTAATGATCCTATAATATATTTCACAACAGCAGCACAGAGGAGGTTGGTGGGGGAAAAAGTGTATGGGAGTAAAGAAATGACAACAGTTGGTAACTCAGATTCACAGGAATAAATGAAGAGAATCAGAAAGGGTAACTTAGGAGCTCAATAAAACAAACTCTATAAATTTATACTTGCCTTCACTTATTCTCTCAGCATAATTAAAAAATAAATGGTTATTGTCTTAGTCAGTTTGGACAGTTATACCAAATCACCATAGACTGAGTGGCTTAAATGACAAACATGTGTTTCCCACAGTTTTGGAGACCAAGAAGTCCAAGATCAAGGTGCTGGCAGATCTGATGTTGGGTGACAGACTACTTCCTGCTTTGTAGGTGACCATCTTTTCATTGTATCCTCACATGGCAGAAAGCAGAGACAAAAGAAGCAAGCTCTTTCGTGTCTCTTCTTATGACACTAATTCTATCATGAAGACTCCACCCTCATGACCTTCATGTATTTGGAGATAAGACTCAAAGGTCCCATTGGGGGTCAAGGGTTCAACATATGAGTTTTGATAGGAAAAGAACATTCAGTTGATAGCAAGTATATAAAGTAGTAATTATAATAATGTATTATTGGGTTTAAAACATATACATAATATATATATATAATATACATATATTTAATATATAATATATATGAAAAAGCTAATATATATGTAATATATATAAAATATATATAAAATATATTTGTATATGTTTAATATGATATATATATATACAGCAATAGTACCAAAAATGGAGAAGAGAGAATGGGGCTATATGGAATTAAAGTTTCTATATTGTATATCATATAATAACCACTGAGAAAAAAACCTCAAAGAATAATTTAAAAATCCTAGAAGGACTTAGAATGTTAGGCTAGAAAATATCCACTTAATCAAAAAGAAAGCAATAGGGCCAGCCCCCATGGCCTAGTGGTTAATTTTGGGACACTCCACTTTGGCAGCCTGGGTTTAGTTCACAGGAGTGGACCAACACCACTTGTCTATGAGAGGTCATGATGTGGCAGTGACTCATATACAAAAAACAGAGGAAGATTGACAACAGATGTTAGATCAAGGGGAATCTTCCTCAGCAAAATAAATAAAGAAAGAAAGAAAGCAATAGAAGAGAAATAGAGAAACAAAAATGTCATGAGATATAGAAAACAAAAATAAAATTGTTAAATCTAAATCTAATCCTATCAATAATGTTAAATGTTAATGGATTAAATAATCCAATTAGAAGACAATGATAGTCAGATTGCATAATTGGCTCCCTCATTAAAAAAGACACAACTTTACAATTTTAAGCAATCTATAAGAGATACACTTTACATTAAAAAATGCAATAGGTTGCAAGTAAGAGGATGGGAAAAGACATACCATACAAACAGCAACAATAAAAGAGCTGGAGGGGCCAGCCTGATGGCGCAGTGGTTAAGCGCACATGTTCCGCTTCAGCTGCCGGGGGTTCACTGGTTCGGATCCTGGGTGCAGATATGGCACCGACTGGCAAGCCAAGCTGTGGTAGGGGTCCCACATATAGGGTAGAGGAAGATGGGCACGATGTTAGCTCAGGGCCAGTCTTCCTCAGCAATAAATTTTAAATCATCTATAAATTTTAAAGAATTGAAGCACAAAATATGTTCCCTGACCATAATGCCATTAAATTACAGGTGAAAAACAGAAGGAAATTTGGTAAATTCACAAACAAGTGGAAATTAAAAGATGCTATTAAATAACCAATGCCTTGAAGAAAAAAATCACAAAGAAAATTAGAAAATATTTTAGATGAAAGAAAAAAAATCATAACATATCAAGACATATTGGATGCAGCTAAAGCAGCATCCAGAGGAATATCTTTAGCTATAAATGCCTACATCCAAAAAGAAGAAAGACATCAAATCAACAACATTGCCTCTTAAGAAACAAGAAAAAGGAAAGCAAACTAAACCCAAAGCAAGTAGAAAGAAGGTAATAACAGAGTGCAAAAAAAAATCAATAAAAACATTGACAGATCTTTATCTAGATTGACCAAGAAAAATGGAAAGAAAAAAGGTGAAATTATTAAAATTAAGATGAAGATGAGGGGCCAGCCCAATGGCCGAGTGGTTAAGTTCATGCACTCCATTTGGGCGGTCCAGGGTTTTACCAGTTTGGATCCTGGGCAGGGACATGGCACCACTCATCAGGCCATGCTGAGGCAATGTCCCACACAGTGCAACCAGAAAGACCTACAACTAGAACATACAACTATGCACTGGGGGGCTTTGAGGAGAAGAAGAATAAGAAAAAAATGAAGACTGGGGGCCAGCCTGGTGGCACAGCAGTTAAGTTCGCATGCTCTGCTTCAGCTGCCTGAGGTTCACCAGTTCAGATCCCAGGTGCGGTTTGACACACCACTTACCAAGCCATGCTGTGGCAGGCATCCTACATATAAATAGAGAAAGATGGGCATAGGTGTTAGCTCAGGGCCAATCTTCTCAGCAAAAAAAGAGGAAGATTGATGGTGGATGTTAGCTCAGGGCTAATCTTTTTCAAAAAAAAGAAGATTGGCAACAGATGTTAGCTCAGGTGCCAATCTTTAAAAAAAAAAAAAGATGAAGATGAGGGCATAGGTACTAATTTTACAGAAATATTAAGGATTTTAAGGGAATACTTGAACAATAATATTATGCCAACAAAACAGATAATAGTTAAAATGGACAAATTCTATAAAAAATGAATTACTGAAAATTACTCAAAGAAAGTAGAAAATATAAATAGATCTATAACGAGTAAAGAGATTGAATTAATAATTAAAATTTTACGATAAAGAAAAACCCAGGTTCAGATGGCCTCACTGTTGAATTCTACCAGACTTTCAAAGAATAATACTAATCCTTTACCAAATCTTCCAAAAAAATAGAATAGGGAACATTTGCCAACTCACCCTATGGAGCCAGAATTACTCTGCTATCAAAACCAGAGCAAGATACCACATGGAAAGCAAACTAGAGTTGAATATCCCCCATAAATACAGATGTAAAACTCCTCAAAAAGATACTAGCAATATAGTAATATATAAAAAGAATTATATACTATGACCAACTGGGATTTCGAAGACTCGTACTTCTAGATTTCAAAACTTACTACATTGCTACAATAATCAAGACAGTGTTGTACTGGCATAAATATAGACATACAGATCTCAGAATAGAATTGACAGTCCACAAAAAAATTCTTACGTTTATGGGTAATTAATTTTAACAAGAATCTCAAGACAATTTATTTGGGGAAAAAACAGTCTAATCAACAATGGTGCTGGGACACCTGGATATACACATGCAAAAGAATAACATTTGACCTCTACTTCACGCTGTGCATAAAAATTAACTCCAACTAAATCATAAACTTTAATATAAGAGGTAAAACTATAAAATTCTTAGAACAAAACATGGACATAAATATTATCTTGTATTAGTCATGATATTTTAGATACAATACCAAAAATACAAGTGACAAAAGAAAAGTAAATAAATTATACTTCATCAAAATTAAAAACTCTTTTTTTGGTGAAGATAATACCATAAGTAAAGTAAAAAGACAACTTATAGAGCAGGAGAAGATATTTGAATATCATTTATCTGATAAGAGACTTGTGTCCAGAAGACGTAAAGAACCCATAAAACTCATAAACAAAAAGAAAACCCAATTTAAAAACGTACAAAGCGTTTGAATACACATTTCTCCAAAGAAGGTATACGATTGGCCAATAAGCACATGAAAACCTGTTCAACATCATTAGTCTTAGGAAAACAAATCAAAACCACAATGAGATACCACTTCACACCCACTAGAATGGCTGCAATAAAAGAAGCTAGCAAGAGCTGGCAAAGTATTTGGAGAAATTAGAACCTCAGATGCTGCTCATGAGAATGTATAATGGTGCAGCCACGTTGGAAGACAATTTGGCAGTTTTTCAAAATTTTAAACGTAGAGTTAACATATGACCTGACAATTCCACTCCAAGGTATATGTCCAAAATAAATGAAAATATGTGTCCACTCAAAAATTTGTACACAAATATTCATAGAAGCATTTTTCACAGTAACCAAAAGTTAAAAATAACATAAATGTCCATCAACTGATGAATGAATAAAAAAATATGTGGCATATCCATACAATGGAATAATATTCAGCAATAAAAAGACATACTGATACATGCAACAACCTGGATGAACTTGAAAACATTATGTTAAGTGAAAGAAGCAAATCGTACAAACAGAAGGCAGATTAGTGGTTGTTCAGGGCTTGAAGAGAGGGAAGTGGAGAGGAGAGTATTGAGGAGTGCCTGCAAGTGGATACAGGTTTTCTTTTTGGGAAAATAAAAATGCTCTAAAATTAGATTGTGATGATGGTTGCACAAACCTGTGAATGCATTTAAAAAGCATTGAATTGTGCATTTTAAATAGGTGAATTGTATGGTATATTATTTACCTCAATAACACTGTTAAAAACCATAATTCAGATCATGCTATTATTTTGCTTGAAATTTTCCAATAACTTCTCATTTTATTTGAAGCAAAAGCAAAGTGCTTACATTCATCCATAGGGCCCCCCATAGTATGGTCTCCATGTTAACCTCTGTCGTCATCTGCGACTATTCTCTTTGCTCACTCAGCTACACTTTTTTTTTACTTTGCAGGTCCTCAACATGTCAGCCTATTCTTGTTTCAGGGACAATGTGTTTGCTGTTTTTCCCACCTGGGACGTTTTTTCCCTAGATGTCACATGGATTGTTCCCTTATCTTGTGCCTTTGCTCCAACAAAGCCTTCATGAGACCACTGTACATACTTTAAATTGAAGCTCCCTCCACTAAAGCACTCCCACCCCCTTTCCATGTCTTTTTTATTCCATGTCATTGATTACTGTTTGGCCTCCTTTGTTTGTTTTCTGTTCTACCATCTTCTTTCACTAAAATGTAAGTTCAAAAAGGCATAACACTATCTGTTTTGTTCATTGTGGTTTCCCCAGTACCTAGGACACTAGACTATTATGTGGTAGGCATGAAAAAAATATTTGCTTAGGGTGCCCGCCCAGTGGTGCAGTGGTTGGGTTCGCACAATCCGCTTCGGCAGCCTGGGGTTCGCTGGTTCAGATCCTGGATGCGAACCTACGCACAGCTTGGCAAGCCATGCTGTGGCAGGCATCCTACACATAAAGTAGAGAAAGATGTGCATGGATGTTGGATCTGGGCCAGTCTTCCTCAGCAAAAAAGAGGAGGATTAGCAGCAGATATTGGCTCAGGGCTAATCTTCCCCCAAAAAACCTGCTTAATGTAATGTAGACGTGCACCGCATAATGCCAGTTCAGTCAATGACAGACCTCATATACAACAGTGGTTCCACAAGATTGGTACCATATAGCCTAGATGTGTAGTAAGCCATACCACCTAGGTTGTGTGAGTACACTCAACACAACAACAGAATCACCTAATGGCACATTTCTCAGAATGTATCCTTGTCATTAAGTGACACAAGTCTATACAGAAACGAATTAGAAATGCATAATATAGCAAATCACACAATATGAGATGCTAAACTGTGGATATCAAATGTCCTTATTCAAGTGAGGTCAAGAAAGGAGAGATGTATGACTGTAGTTACATTGTGTGGCTAATATCTTGAATTTCCTACCTCAGCCAAGAAACGTAATGACCTGGGAGAGCTTCAAGTTCTTGCATAAAAGTGAAAGCATTTTACTTTGTTGAAGTGGAAAAGATGCGTTAAAAATCACACAACATACTTTCTCAGTTGAAGTTAAAGCATGAATATCTGATGTCACATCAAACGTGTAGGACAAGATCCAATTAATTGACTTTTGCAGCAAATACAAATTATAATTTGTTCTCATATCACAGCTCTGACAACATCAGTTAATCTTTCGGTAGCATCCCCTGAAACATTCATCTTTACTGCTCCAGGTTGAAGAGATTTAATCGGTTTGGGCCCGACCACAACATCTGCCCGTGCCTGCAGGGGCTGACAGTCAAAGAGAGAAGGAGTGAGGAGAATAAGCCTCTCCTCCACAGTCACCAGGGTAGCCACAGGCATGGTGGCTGGCCTTGCTGACATTTCAGGCAATGATATTCAAAGATTAACTTGTGCTTTCATTACGATAGACAGAGCAGAAAGTGTGACTCAAAAGTCATGAGATTGATTATTGCCCAGATGTGACATTAGTGTTATTGCCTGAACACACATTATAATCTATGAAATCTGAGGGGGTATTGGAAGGTCACCCAATCCATAAAACATCTCCCCCACTGTCCTGACATGACACATGCAATTATCAACAATAATGGTTCATTCCTTTGGGTTAAGAAGTATTGTTCTTAGCAGTCCTCTGCCAAAAAGACTCTCTCAGGGATTTTATGCGTAAAAACACATCATCTGCCATTAACAGTATTTTAAAATAAAATAATGTTTCATCATTTGGAATTCTTTTGTCTGCAAATATAAGAAACTGACTTTTTGGCTGATTTGAGAAGAAAACTGCAATTTAGCATAAGCAGTGTGGCATGGGCTAGACGGAACTGGAATCAGATTAGAAGCTACCCAAAACTTTTCTCCATCTGTCATATTTGCCTGTCTCTACAAGGGTTTTATTCTTTTCTATTTCCCTCTCTCCCCCTCAATCCATCTCCCAATGTGCAATTTTCCTGCTTCTCTGCTCCATGTGGAAGGTTAAAAGTGCGCTCCCCACTGCTTCAAAGGCACATATTTTACCTCCAGCCAAAGAAAATGCAAAAATCTGTCCCTCTCAGTCCCAATTCCAAAATTCCTACAGACACTATTTGTTTGGTTACACTTGTCTAAGGGGTCCACACCCTAATGGGAGGTACCATTGCTAGAGTCAAGGTCACATTATGCAAAATAGCTTCCAGGGTCCAAAGGACAACTAAAAGTGGTGTCAGGATCTGGGCAGCATCTTCATAATGCCTCTGTATTGAACATATTTTTAAATCTAGTCACAAAAATTAATAAATGTTTACAAAAAAGAAAAAAATGCAAAAGCATCTAAGAATACAAATCTGCCTCTGATCTCTTCTCCAGAGACAACTGCTGATATACTTTCAGTGTTTAATTGTTAAACCTTAGCCATTAACACCCTAACATGGATATGTTGGGGAGGAAAAGCTTTTCCTCTTCTCTTTTATATTCTGTTCTTGGGAGACTGAGAATTAAACTGACAAGACAGATTAGCAAGAGAAAGGACACCATTTAGTCCTATAGATATGAGAGCCCACACAAATGTGACTCAAAGGGGTAGTTAGAATTTTGGACTTATATATTATCTTAATAGGGGAAGGGGAGAAAAAGAAGGACACTTATGAGAAAACAAATGACTTTTTAGAAAGATATATGGGTCCTTAGGAGAACAGATGAAAGATATGATAGTTTTGTGACATGTCTGCTTAGGTGTGGAAAAGGTCCCCACCTGAGCAGAGAAGTAGAGAATTTTCATCTCTGGTGATGAGTCATTCTCCCTGGTTGCTTCCAGAGAAGGGATTTATGACAGTTGAGTTCTTTTAGGATGCTTTGCTTTTAGACACGTAAGAGATTTCAGGACCTCAAATGCCTTCTGCTCAAAATACTTTTTATGCCACAGTGGCATATTCTGGACCCCTTCAGATGTGTTAATGTGATGGCTCCTTAAAAGCAATTAAACTACCCAGGGGGAGTTTCAGAGGATAAGTGGCTCTGTTTATATAGAAGCCACAAAGCCAGAGAATGTTCTGAGCAAGATCAACTCCTGAGAAATGGTGAGAAGGAGCCTGGGAGAGAGGGAGGCAGGCACCAAGACAGGCAGGACATGCAAGTTTTATGAAGTACGAAGGGTCCTGCAAATGCCAGTCAGTGTGCTTCCTGAAACAAATGAGTGAGATGAGCATGATTGCTATCTTTAGCTCTTTTGAGAAGCTCTTGTGAGAAGATAGAGTCTAAGAGGGATATGGTGACCTGGTTGTGATCATTAGGAGTATAACTTCTGGAAGGAATAACTGAAAACCCAACTTCTGCTCTTCCAATGGATCCCACAGACAGTGTTTGCAAACCAAGTCAGCACAATCTGGCAGAAGCACCTACCTAATATGGGTATGGAGAGGAATATACAGTTAGATGTAAGGAAAGCACTTACAGGAGTGTCTAGCACATTGTTAGCACCTCAGTAAGCATCAACTGTTTTGGGCCCACCTTTTGAAAGGCTGCCTAGGTTAGTGGTCAAGAACCTGGACTCTTGAACCAAACTTCAGGATGGAGAACCTGTTTCTTTGCTTACTGACTGTGCTGTCCAATCTGTACCTTATTTTCCTCATCTGTGAAACGGAACATTTATAGAGACAATCTCCAATTTTTCTTCTTCTTTTTTTATATGGAGATTAAATGAGTTAATATATGACAAGTACTTGGAATATTTCTTGTCGTCACAATATAAGTGTTACTATTACCAAAGAGCCATCAACCAAGATGCAACTGGGAAGCCCAAAGTACAGAAGAGTTATAAGGATGACTAATCCATGACCTCAAGGAAGTGATCAAAGACCCCGTTTCTTCTCACCAGTCCACCATGCCAGTCATAGATCAGGGCTTCATTTGGTGCTGCTTACCTCTGTGATCAAAGGGATTACTTTAATTGGCTTAAATGAGTCTGCATATACCTCTGGATCATCCAGGTCTTGCTGTCTCATTTGTCAGCTTGTTTCTTCTTGTGAAAACAATGAGTTTTCCTTTTTAAACATGTAATAACAAATTGACAAGTTTACCTTCTTAACCTGTGGTGAAGGAAACTGGTAATTTTAATGCAGCAGTTATGGCAGGTTGACCAGAACACCCTAGAGCAGTGACCTGATTGCTCAATTTCACTGACTGAAGTGGTTCCTGCTATTCCATAGTGTCTGCAGGTTAGTGTTAAAAAAAAAAACGTTGAAAGTGCTTTCAAGAACCAATGGGCGGTGGTTCTTTGGTCTCTAATTAAACAAAAACCATTGATTCCCACCAATCATGTCAATTCATATATCCAGGATTTAATCATTTTTGCAATGGTGGGATTGTGTTTACTGCCGCTTGAGTCTTCTGACAGTACAAAGTTCCTAAAATTTTTTGCAATTTTTAAATTTATCTTTGCAAAGCATAAATAATGTGAAATTGTTTATTAGGAATATGAATCAGTGAAAAATAAGAAATTTGAAGACTGAAATTGAACGTAGTAAAAATGTACAAGTTAATGAGGGAGAATTTAGAAAACCTGAAAGCCAGAAGTTCATAAAAAAAAAAAAGGAAAAATGGCATGACTTTCAACAATAAACCTGGCAGGAATGAAAACAATAAAATTACTCCAAAAGAAATAGTGGCTTAGCATACAGAAGGAGTAGTCAATCTAAAAAATTTGAGAATTTATCCATATAATTATTTAAATATGGATTTTATTGCTATAGAATATCAAAAGAGCCTAAAACTTGAATCTCATGGGAGAATAAACCCTGAACAATCACCACAGTAGGTTGTCATTCGTGGTGACATGCACTGATCTTGCAAAGTGCGAAGGAGACGGTCAGACATTTTTGAAAAAACACAAGAGAATTATAAACAAAGTACAAGGTCAGTCTCCAAATCTACTTCAACAGTACAGCTCGCTTAGTATGAGATAAACAGTGTGTTCCAAACTAAGTTTATATAAGACTTTTTTCCACTTTCAAGGATTTGGTCCAGTTGGGGAGAAAGAACATGTTCTTGGGCAGAAAAATAATTTGATTATTAGCTGGCAACCCAGATAGAAATACCTGGCAACTTGACTACAGTATTACAAGTGCTCTTAGCTGATTGTACAGTGGAGTCTGATACTTTTTCTTTTGCATAGTATATTTGAATAATTTATGTCTTCTAGTTCATTTACGCTTTTTTCGTAAAAAGCAGTCTTTTGTTCTTTATTT